CTCAGTCCTCCCCCTTTGGAGGAAGAGTGGCAGAGATGAGTGATGAACTGACCGCAGGCCCTGTTCCTTTCCTCTGCACTGCAGAGTGAAGGAGGAAGAAAATTTGAGGAATAAGTGAAGCTGAGCCTGGGAAGATGGGAAGGATGGGGTTTAAAGTACATTTTTTACTACTTGTACAGATGCAAAACTCATATTGCAACTGAATTCGTTTTTGAGTGACTTTTTTTTTAAACCAATTTCCTGCTAAGGGTGCTAAAATAATGTAATTTCAGTTGTGCTGCCATGTTGCCACTTAAAGTGAACATTTGAAATTTCTTTTTATATGTACTTTGAAATGGAAATAATTATTTTCAAATAAAATATGCTTTATCGGGAGATATCATGAGAAATTGAATAAGTGCTTCAGAAAGTGCTCCATTTTATAGCAAAAATTTTTAGCTTTAAAAAAAAGTCCTCAAGCAAGCAATGTGCACACAAAGCCCCCAACCCAATGACTGGTCTTGTGTTAAATATGTTAAACTGTTGTAAATGTAGACACCCTAATATTGTTCAATAGATGTCTCATATAACCAGTCTACAAAATGGTACATTTTTTATTTAAGGACTATCCTCTAAATATTTATTTACAAATTGTTGATATTATTGTTTTAAATGATACATTAGAACATTTTTTCTGTGATAGAGCATTGGAAGCATACTGACAGAGCACAAATGATATCTGCATATTTCAAAATACAGAAAGGAAAAGTAACCAATATTTTTAACCAGAAAAACACACTCAAATTTTCAGAAGCTGTCTTTCCATGACAGTAATATCTATTGTTCTGAGCCTTCAGTATCCTTGGGAGTGTGTAATGCAGAAATTAGCAGAGTAGCTATGGTTGGTGTGTACTGATGACAAGCTACGAACTGAGGTACTAGTGTGCAGATAAAACTGAATTAAAAATCGACTACATCAAGCTCATCATGGAACTAGAGCTGTGCAGTTATTCTTATTGATCTAGTTTAACATGAACATGAAGCTCAACAGTTTATGGATCTCTTTGGGATCCTTTCTTTGCATACCCAAAATGTAAGATTTTGCTAATGGGACAAGAAAATGTGAACGAAACTCAGGCACAGACAGGCCTAAGCCTCAGTGGTTTGGTCTGGTTTGTTTGTTTTTAACTGTATAGCTCAGTAAGTTTTGAATCTGTATTTGTTAATTTTCCCCCTATTTGGGTCATATACATATGAAATGTATTTTCCTGACTGAAAATAGAGAAAATGGAGTTAGGGGAAAAAAGAAATTTGCAGAAATGCTCTACTATAGGTGATTATAAAAAGGAATTTAAAACATGTGCCCCAACTGAAAAACATGAAACATTACATTTCATTTCATGTGAAGCTTGGTGTGACCTTCATTGTTGGAAATAGCAGGAAGTGTTATTTCTGCAATGAATATACTACACTTTCAGTAGTAGTGAAGCAGAAAGCTTATCATGAATAAATACAGATATAAATTGTCAGGTCACATTTCAGTGAGAGTTCATGTTGAGCAGTAATATAAATGTAAGAGCTTACAATGAAATGAAATTTATAATATAAAGATCAAATCTGCCTATGAGAGCCTTTTAAGGAAATCTGTTGTACTGAAAAGATTACAATTTTGTTTCAATAGAGAGTAACATAGTATGACAAAACTAGTGTATTTCTGCTGGATAAATGTGATATAAATTAGTATCTGATTCCATGTGGATGATCTTACCATACAAGAAAAAAAAAACTTTTTAACAAGCAGGAATGCTGCTCTTAGATCAAAACAAAATAAAACAAAAAATAAACAGTCATTTGTCACAATTTTTAACTTTAGAATACTCACGCACTGAACTTTGCAGTTGCTGAAGTGCTTTAGTGATTTAAATTCAGACATTCCCTTTAGCAGAGGTAAAATGCTCTTGTGTGGACATTGCTGACCCCTTGCCTGTTTGCTCCTTTCCTTCAGCAAGCACAGTGATGTCAGAGCAGGGTGGCAGTGGGACCTCGCAGCCCCCGAATGAAGGTGCAGAGCTGAAGGTTCACAAAAATCAGCTTACATGGAAACTCAGCAGCTCGCTTCTGGTCCATGTGTCATGAGGAGACGCAAGCTTGTCTGGATCAACAGCTGTGAAGCTTTTAATGAAATGTACTGAAGATGGCTTATCAGAAACCACAAGCAGTCTTAGTGTAGGCAAGTGATTGCAAGGACGTTTCTAATGAAATTTTGTGATTTTTTTCAAATGTAGTGTTTCCAAATATGCTTAATTCATATTAAGAGTGAAAACAGCTTAGGTTTTGAAAGTCACACTGGAAGAAAAGCCATGTTGCAGCAGACTGAATGTGTGTACATGCAGCACAGTAGTCTGTCACTGTCGGTGTTCACCCATCACCTAAGAAAGTGAGTGAGAAAAAGAAAGATTATACTAATATTTCTCCCAGTAATCAACTTTCTCAGCATTACATAGTTCAGGAGTATTCTCAGTCATGAGCAGTATTTATCAGTTTAATAACCTCACTGGATTTTATTTTTTCTTTGATTAAGTTGCGTGATTGCTTTGTGAATTGGTATGTACCTCATTTAGACACTAGATGAATGGAAAGTCTTGCTGTTAATCTTTCTACATGAGTTCAACATGTAGGAATGTTTGGATAAGCTCTCAAACAGAGCTTATCCAAAACTTTTGTTTATTGCAGTTTTTTATTTTGTTTGGGGTTTTTTAATGTTAGGGGGTGGGGTATTTTTTGTTGTTGTTGGCAGTTTCATTTTTTATTTGGATTATTTTTGTCTTTTTGTTAGTTTGAGTTTTTTAACTTCTGAAAATGTGCATTAACACATGTAGGAAATGAGTGACATGGAAATAAATGTAGGAAATCACAGATAATTCTGTGCAATAGTTGCAGAACTTGAGAAGTTGATAATCAGAAATGCAAGATCATAAAATGCTACCCTTTAATTGGATAGTTTCATTGGCTATAAAACATCTCTGTCTACTTGTCATTGTGCTGATGTTATTAGAATTTTTTGAAACTTACCTTAGAGTGTCACTGAATGGCTTTAGGTGGCCATAGTCAAAGGGCCTGATTTCACATGTCCCCTCTAGTGCTGTGGCATGGCAGTAGTAAGGAAATTCACAAAAGGGTACAACATTAGCTAAATTGGCAGGTTTTGACTGTAGTTTTGATTGCCCCGACACATTAACTTTTCCTGCTATATAGTTCTGAATACTTTTGAATGTTTGTTTTATGTTCTAGGCTTTGTGGGTTTTTTTTGTTGTTGTTGGTTTGTTTTTTTGGTTTATGTGTGTGTTTTGGTGGTGGTTGTTGGTAGACTTAATTGCTGTTCAGAATGCGTTGCAAAATTTCACAACATCAAGGAAAATAATCTGAAATGGACGGTTGCTATCCTTTTCCTACTTGGAATGCTTGTTTTGACACCTGGCATATTTTGTCTGCACACAGTTTCCATACTCTATTAATTTCTGCTTACACCATGGGTAGATTTGTCTCAAATTGTCATGTTTTGGAACTTTCAATAACCAGTGAAGGTCTCGATTTCTGAGAAGCTAATAAATGAGAAAATGTAGTCTGTTCAGTTGCTTTCTAATTATATTCATCTCTGTTTAAAACTCCTCAAGGCAGAAATTAAAAATGTCAGTGTGACATCAGTTGTGATCTCTGAACGCATTAAAGAAAAAATATTAATGCCGCAACATATGCACCACATTTGTAGAGAGTTTGATCTTCTTTGTAATGCTCACTCACTGTTTAGCCACAGGCTTTCAAAAGTGAACTTTTATTCTGGACCTTTTTTTCTTCCAATGTGTATTCTTGATTTAAGTCTTGAGAAAGCTTTTTAAATATATTTTTTTAGCATCTAATGAGTGTGCCCTCTATTTCCTTTTAAACAGCAATGTAAATTCTCACTGGAGTAGAGAAAGTACAATTAACTACCCCTACGCATATGTGTTTGTAGTTAGTTCTAACTTTATTTTGTTCATTTTGTGATGCTATCTTCCCTTGGGCTTCTATTTCTGTACTCATTTTAGCCTGCATATTCATTGAAATAAAGGCTTTTCTTGTCTTTACTTGCACTGCAAAATGCCCTGCTGCAGCATTAATATTTCAGAGGAAATACTGTCTTCTGGCACTAAATGTACAAAATCTCAGTAATAACAGACAGAATATAAGGTTTTTGCTCACTGCATTAATATCATAACTTACAGTTTATGAACTGTTTACTACAACATTAGGCACATGAAAGCAAAATTCTGCAATCATAATAGCTGGCTTCACTGAATGCAGTCTGCTAACAAACAGCAACTGGCTACTTCAAGTTTCTGGTTGCAAAACTCTGGAGACCTTCTAGTAATAATGTAGCTTCATAAATGTTGTATTGGCTGCTTTCTTATTGTATGTTTGCCATTGACTATGTATGATCCTTCTGTGGATAATGCTTGTAGCAATCTGGCTGGTGATGGGTAAAATTTGCAGGTGTATGCAAAATACTTGATTTAGAGCCTCCTGTCTTGAGGAGGAATATACACTTTATTGCAAGCTGTCCACACAGAAATGATGCACAGAGAAAAGCACTGCTGAGCTGCCTTGGATAATCTCACTATTTCACAAACAAACCAAGTAAATAAAACAGCTCATTCCTCCAATAATTTCTCCAGTAGAAAACTAGATGCTTTCTATCACGTATCTCCATATTTCTCATTAGGCAAATACTGTAAGAATTTTTTTTTTGTTATTTAAGTTTCTCTAAGGAAAGCCGTATCACCTATTTCAGGCATATTCACGTATTCAGGGTTGGTTTTTTTTTTCAAGTAAATTGGGCTTCTCTATTTATCTGACATCTGAAGCTTGCAGAGTTTAAATAATACCTTAAATTACGTGTCTGATAAAAGTACAGTTGTGGTTTTTGGTTTTTTTTTTTTTTTTTTTTTTTAATTTTTTTGTTTGTGTGTGTGAGGAATCTTATTTTAAAAAGTGTCAGGAGGCTTCTCACTGGCCGGGAGGATGAAACGCAACTTAAAGATGTTTTGAGTGACTCAGACGACAGACGTAAGCTTTGGTCCAAGACACGCTGAAGGAATCAATAACCTTTCCTGTTCTTTCTTTTCCTTGAGGTGAGGCCTGTCTGTTCTGAGTTGTGATGGGGCGCCTGCTGCTGTGTTCCAGCAGCTGGGTCGAGCTCCGGGAGCTCGGGCAGCCCTGGCTCCGGGCTGGAGGAGCTGCTGGACCCTCGGTCCGCAGGAGAAAGGCGGAGCCGAGGACAGGAATCCTTCCCGGCCCTCATCCATCCACCTGGAGAAAGGAATGGCTGTCCTGCCCCGCCGGCTGTGCCACTGGATGGCAGCATTGGATGCGGCTTGGCAGCGCCGAGCTCCGGTTCAGCCTCGTTAAACATCAGCCCGGTAAAAGATTGATAGCAATGCAAATGTATTTATAACCACTAGAGATAGTCACCTTCCACCCCAATTAGCCTTTGAATTGATTTAGTGAGAAAAACATCTATTATGGAATAAAAGTCTTAGTGATTAGTGTTGCATTATTTCACTACATTTGAAATGGCTGTAGGTAAGAGGGTCTTACAGGCATAAATAAGCTTTAATATTATAACGTGCTTTTAGGCTACATCAGAAGCAAATTACAGGTCAATGGTTTGTTTTCTAAGTAAAATATACAGGTAGAGTGGGCGTGCTGGGACTCTATGGCATTTACAAAATCTAGCTTATAGAAAATTTCTTTTCCTTATTTTGTTTTTAAAATGGATTATTTAGCTGATCACAAAAATGTGCATCTTTCTGCAAGCTAAAAAAATTAATTAATGTTTTGAAGCTGTCTGATTTTTTTTTTTTTTCCTATTTTCCCTTCTTCCCAAATGCAGTTTGCTGCGAAGAACCTGGAGTGAGATGAGTGGTGATGATTCTTTCTCTGGAGTGTGAATCCTGGTGGTACATCGGGTACATCCTGACATATGACTTGTACTGCTAGGAAAGGACACAGGAGAGAAGAGAGTCCTCTGCTTCAGCTGAAATTATTGCACGGGGCTGGTATGGTTTAAGTCTTCTAATATAAAGACCTAATTTACATCACATTGAGTTTCAATTACATGTTGAAAATGTTATTTCTTTGAGAAGCAAAATTTCCCTAATATTTGACAATACAGCACTGCTTTTTCTGCTTTGCAGCTATGATGTAAATTAGCTTCCTTGCTAAGGAGTACAATGTGAACAAACAGCCTTTGAAAACAGGACTGGAGCTGTAGCTGGGTGCTTCCCAATTCAGATTCTGCACCTCCCCCTGCCGCCCTCCCCCCACTGTAAAATCTATGCAATCTTTGCTTTCTATTTATGTATTCATTTGTGTTTATATAAAGGATGAAGCTTAATGAAGTCTTTGCAGTCACAGCAGGGTAAACCACTGTGAGATCAGATGTGGCCCTGTGCTGTGTGAGAGCAAGACCTTTCAGTGTTGTTATTCTCTTCATTGTTCCTCAATTCATCTCTATTTAATATATAGCTTATATAGTTAACGCCATATTTTCAAAATATACTGTTAGCATTTTTACTTTTTGGGAAAAATTATAAGTTGTTGTGGTTTTTATGACAATAGGAAAATACTTTATTCAGTCCAGCATGCTGGTTTAGAGGACTCAAACCACAAAGACCACCTTCCTTCCACTCCCCGCAGCAGCTATTGTGACTGTTTCAAAGCCTAGTCTGAAATTTACCTGAATTCTTAATGAATGCTTGCATCCAGATGGCAGAATGTTTTCATTGAACAAAGATACCTTTCTTGGTATAAAGTTTTAAATACATTTTATACGTTTGTATTTGTAGTTTGCTTTGCAACATTTAAACAAAGAGTACGGAGACAAAGAAAAATTATAAAATAGGAGAGAAATGTTAACAATGTTTGCCAAGAATATCTTTGAATACGCAAGAGGACTGAAGGGCTTAAAATCTAGAATGCCCTATAAAAATTGGGAAAAAAAACCCCATCAAAGTGAATAATTCTACTTTTAATTTCTTTTGTAGCCATGTTTTGGATGTCTACAATGCACTGCAGCATTGACACCAGATAATACAATGATATCCCACTTAGTCATGGTGAAGCATGCTTGACAATCAATCAAAAATCAGCTGGAAGCAAAATCTCTTGAAGGCAGCCTAGATCTGATGGGATTTGTCCTTATTTGTGTGTACATAAGTGAGAGATATGCAAGCTTTTCACATAAATGGCATGCATGAAAACTACACTGGGATTTAAAACTTACTTTGTATATTCTGCAAAACATTTGCTCTTGTGTATCTCCTATTCTAAAGAAATAAACAGTCTGATAAAAATAGGATCCAGAGAGCTAATACTGGCATTGATTTTTAATTTACACAAAAGTTATTGCAAATATATATCAGTGTCAATTAAAGCAGTTTCATTGCTTACACAATATAGGAAATCAGATTCCATAATTACATTTGCCATGCGGATGGTAGCACTATTTCCAAGGTTCAAAGGTCACTGACAATTAGCATAATATTTAAAATTAAATTACACTAAATATTGTTTACTATAATTGCTTGAAAATTTGACAGGAAATTATGAATGCTTTGCTGTAAGGAATATATTCTGGCAGCAAACCTCAGTTGTTTTTTTTCCTAAGGTTTTCATTTTTAGATGTTTAATTTTGTCTTTGGTTCATAGAAAATAGTTTATGTTGCACCTAGGTAACCAGATAGAGCTTGTTTACCATAAAGACAAGACATCATACAATGTTTGTAGTAGTCTGGGAGTATGACAGTGTAGATAAGATTAATAAAAAGGCAAATGTAATAATTTGTAGCTGGTTAAACATTTCAGTGGACAGCAGCAAAAAAAGTCAGTTCAGTCATAACTGCAGGATAGTATTTGTATTTATTAGAATTTATAGTCTGATTTTTCCCCAAAGGAAATTTTTAGCTAAATTTCTTCTCCAATTGTATTATATTTTCAGAAGTTAAAATATGTGTGTGTATGTGAGTTGGAAGTTTAGCTGATGCTTTTCCAAGGAAGAAAATATTAAAATGTGGAAGGCTTGTCTGCAAGGATATAATTTTAAAGCAGGTATTATTGTAGCAGAAAGTAGATTTGAAGAAGGGACACTGCTTCAGTTTTCTCCCTAGATACAATTTTAACATTTATAGAATGGTCTCTAGCAATTAACAGCGTGACACCAGGAGTATGACGCTGAGGAACCTTCCCTGACTGATCTTTGTCTGTGCCCTCATTGGCAATCCCAGATGTGATAAGAAGTTCTGCACAGCCAGCTGAATGTGGGATCTCTCTCCCTTTATATAGCTGTGGAAAAGAAGTGGAATAGACTTGGGCCTGTTGTTGGAAGGGATTGCTAATGCTTCTTTAAATGAGGGCAAGCTGTCAGCTGTGCTCAGAGACATGATGGTTTAGCCACTCACGGTCTGTGAAAATGTTGCTTGATGCCAGTGCTCTCCTTGATTGTTGTCTCCTGTCTGAGAGACTGGGAGATGTTACAGCCATGGTATTTCCCATGTGTTGCCTCAAGTTCCTTATGTCAAGTGAAAAACATGGCTAGAAGTTAATTAGTTTAAAATTAATCAAAATAAAAAGCCAGTTTTTAGAAGACACCTACAGAAGTTCACTTGGATGAAGTTTTCCTAACATAAGCCTGTAAAAATTGTATCACATGTCCAAACTTTTGAGAGAGGCAGAAAAGTCACAGAAAATGAAAGCCTTAGATTTCTCTGATTTTTTTTTCATTTGTAAGAGGTGAGAGTGTTATGACAGATGTGCAGTGTTTTACATATGCAAGATGTAAGAACATCTTTGGTTAAAACTCAAAAACACTTAAGAATTTTTCCATGTTATGGAACATAAGAAAACATGCCCTGAACTGAAGAACACGGCAAAAAAACATTGTCTGATTTAGAGTACTACATACTTCTAGGGGTATGCATAAGGAAATTATTAGTGGATTTTGTAAGAAGTAATCTATGAGGAAAGTATTAGTGGATTTTGTAAGAAGTAATCTATGCTTTACAAACAAGGTTAGTGTTCAAGAGGATGTGTGAGCACATCTCTGACATTAAGAGAACACAGGCCAAAAATAACATGCTTTTAGTCCAAGTTATTATATTAATGAGAAACCAAAGTGTTTTTCAGCTTCTGATTAAACGTAAAATGTGCATTATTTGGGGAATAAGGTGTTTTTCTATTTCCTATACAGGAAAAAAGTATTATTTGTAGAAAGTATGCAAGGATCAGCAGTAAATGAATTTGAAGCAAAGGTGAAGCAAACTTTCAAGAAATACCATGAAACTGCAAACTGGTGATTACACTACACATGAAGGTCAGTTTGAGGTAACATCAGGACTGTAGTCCAACGTTGGCAAAGATTTTTTTGTTAAAGCTATGTTTTCTATGACTTTAGATGATTATTCTAAAATTACAAAACCAGAATTTTAAGCTTCTGCATATACTGATTTCTGGAAAGAAAATCAATTGCCAATGCAGATAATAGGTATATGAATATTATATGAATGTCTTGAATTGCTGGAGCATGTCACATTAGAAGTTGTGTCAAATGCATGCACACCCTATTGCTGGGTGGAAAAAACAGTTTCAAAATGCATTTGAACACATTACAAATTGTAGGGTAATCACTGCACAAAAGCAAATATATAGGAAGTTGTACTTATTTCTTCTATGCATGATGGAAGATGAAGAAAAAAAACATATGTTGAGTCTCCAGCCTGAGGGAGACTACAATTTTACAGGTGAACAAACTTTAGAAGAAGAATAGACTTGAGAAAAACAATGTAGAGGTGCTTTAAAGACTTTAAAACTTAAGATGACTCAATCAGGGACTAGTTTTTATTTTGTTGTTTTTTTGGGTTTTTTTTTTAATGATGATTACTGTATATTCTTTTAGCTGGGAAAGAATTAAAGTTATCTGTTGGTCTAGATAGTAGTACTTAATCAGCATCCTCTGTGCTGTATCTCTTGAGACACACAATTCTCCGTTGCCCTCTCTCCCTTCTTTCCTTTGGTATCTGATACTTTTTTCTTTTATTATGATAAATGCTTTTACTTATCAGCTCTGTTGTGAATTTTCTTTAATGTCTAGAGGCAGTAGATAGAAACTAGAAGGATGTCTTAAAGCCACACAAACCCCTGATTTTTTCATCTGAAAACATTGAAACATACCTCTAAATAAGAAAAAATGAATGTTTATGCTGTGCCAACAGCCCTAGGAAATTTGATGGAATTTTCTATTATAGTTAGTATTTATAAAGACAAAAATATAATTTTCTATATTTGAATTTTTTTGTAGCAAAAATAGTATGTGTCTTCTTGGTTTTCCTCTGAAGAAGGTTTTTAGAACCAAGGAAAAACAGAACTGGAATTTACAATAGGTTTAAAAGAGTTTGAATTTCTAGAAATAGTTTTACTGTATGCACTGAGACAGCATGGAAGAATAACAGTGAGAATTTAAGACATCCCATTTTAGCCATGCCTATTTTTGAGAACTGGAAAAATTAGTGTGTTCTAATATACAATTAAAGTAAACAAATTCAATCCCTGTAATATTTATGCATTTTATTTTAAGTAAAGAAAGTACAGATTCTTTAGATACTTGCTTTTGTAGGTTTACTGTTTTAGCATTGATGCTGAAGAAAACATTTGTTTTACAAGAATTTTTTAACTGGGAGAAGTAAAGAATAGTGAGGAAAAAGTGAAGTAGAAATGAGATGGCTTTTTTTTCCCCTAGTGCAGCCAGGGTAGCAATGTAATGCATTCCAAATATCTGTTGACTCCTTGTCAAGTCTTGATCTTAAACTTTTTCAGCTGATGTGACTCTTAACTGCATAACTTAAAAATTTCTGGCAAATGGCTAGCCATGTTTCAAAGCTCTCTTAGAAACAGCTGCTGAAATAAAGGGAAAAAAAAATCTGTGCGTTTATCCTTGGGTTATGTTAAGAGCAATAGCTAGCTGATGTACTTAATTGTTGAGAGTGTTTGGAAACTGGCTTGAAATTGACAGGAATTCAAATGGTGTGAGCCATTATCAGGACTGTCACATTGTGGGCATTCTCAGAAGACACAATGTGCAAGATCAATATAGTGATTAAAAAAGGTTAAAATGAATTATGGGAATTCAGAGGATAAATTCAACTAGATCAGGCTTTGAGCAACCTGGGCTAGTGGGAGATGTCCCTGCCTGTGGCAAGGGGCTTCAAATCTTTATAATAATCTTTAAGGTCCCTTCCAACCCAGACCAGTCTATGATTCTATGAAATTAGATATTCAGCTGAGCAGGATGATGATGATGCTCCTCAATGTTGGATATTTTAGGAATAATATCTCCCAAAGGCAGGAGACTCTGCAAGCAATTGTTATATCAGAACAATTTCTGATTATTTTGATTCTAATGGATAAGAAAAGGACTGCTGCAATAACAAGTATTCCAGGAGTAATTTATCCAATTGTAGAAATTTAATGGACTTAGGTCAAGCAGGGGTAGCTTATCCCCATTTGTGGATGTTTTTGCTTTCATGCCTTGTTAGAATTTTTCATACTTTTAGGTCATGTACAGTCTGAAATATGTTGAACCTTGTTATAAAATAGATATCAGGAGATGCATCTCTTCACCTCTGTGGACATAAGAGAGGACCTTGGGAGTTCCAGCTGCTTTGTATTGCCCAAGGTCACAGATAAACATCGTGGAATATAAGCACAGCACAATATGGCAATTGAATGACGTTGCCTGACATGCAGATAAACATTAAGCAGTCCCTTTCCCAAGTATTATCTGCTCTTACAAGCTATGCCATCCTTATTTTATAGATAGAAAGCCAAAGCTGTGAGAGATTTTATCTCTGTAATTCTCTGATGTAGGCCAGACTTTGAGTATTCACTGCTTGAATCTAAAGCTTCATCCAGCAGTTCTGCCTCCACGTAGGTCACAGGATAATTTGTGTTTTAGTGGCAATATTAACAGACACAATGGCATGTTGTAAATGCACTGTAAAAATGCTTATTTGAATGAAACACTGTAGCTTTCTCTTTCTTTCTTTTTCTTTCTTTCT